TCATTTTGCCTGTTTTTCAACAACTGAGCACTTGACCTGTTGTTCCAGTAGATCTTGTGCTTTGTTTTGACTCAGCTCTGTGTTCTGTGTTTTAGGATCACCTTCATCCCTGCAAAGAAATGTCTTGCTACGATTTGTGCCCCACCAGCAGCAACATTGCCTGCCCCCAGCCCATCGCTAACAGCTGCAATGAGCCCTGTGTCCGCCAGTGCCCTGACTCCACTGCTGTGATCCAGCCACCCCCTGTTGTTGTCACCTTCCCCGGCCCCATCCTCAGCTCCTTCCCCCAGCAAGCCGTGGTGGGCTCCTCTGGAGCACCCGCCTTTGGGGGCAACCTGGGGCTGGGAGGCCTCTACGGTGCTGGAAGCCTTTATGGGGGCTCTCTTGGATATGGAGCCCAGTATGGATATGGGAGTTCTGCCCTCTCCACGCTCAGCAGCGGGTTCTGCAGCCCATTCTCCTCCCGCCGGTACAGCCGCTTCCTCCGCAACAGCTGTGGGCCCTGCTAAAGGCAGCAGAAAGATCTCACAAGAGAGGCATGAAGACCCAGATGCAGAGCAATAAGGATGGGGGTTCAGCATTTCTGCAGCCCTGCAGTGGAGCTACTGCCACTTTGCATTTCTGATCTTTCTTCTACATTTTGTTTAACCTTCCATTTCTAGTTCCTTTTTTGCTATTGTTGCCTGTTCCAGCTTTCCCATTTTTTTTTTTTTAACCATCGTGGGGCAGCCTATTCCATATGGACATCACTCACAATGATGTGTATCTTCATCAGTAGTTGCACAACAGACCGAAGAAAGACAGCTGAGAAAAGCAGTATCTCTGAACAGGACATTTGTTGAACATTCTCTGAAATAGTCTGGAAACAGATTTTTCATATTCTGTGGTATCTTGCTTTGCAAATCTAGGCATTTCTTGCTCATTAAAATTGTGTTGCATCGCATGGCAGCCTTCTGGTTTCGTTTTCTCCATTTACCCGCAGTATGTCCTAGGTAGCATCTTCCCATGGGCAGGACCAAGCTGCTAACTGAGCATTTTTACGGCAGATCCTTCCAGCACAGACTGAACTTACACAGTATCACAAATGTTTCCATAATGACACACTTGAGCAGGATCTTTCCATCTTTTGAAGATGTGTAAAGTTTAAAATAACAAAGTATCTTAACTCCTTTAATGTTATTTAAACATTAGTTCAGTGGGGCCTTCCCAGGAACATCTGGAGAATTGGATGGTGGTGAAAAACTGGCACTGGCTGCCCAGACAATCTGTGGCTGCCCCATCCCTGACAGTGTTCAAGGCCAGATTGAAGCAACCTGGTCTAGTGACAGGAGGCTGGAACTGGGTGAGCTTTAAGTTCCCTTCCAACCCAAACCATTCCGTGACTCTATGATTCTATGCTAATTGGGGGTTTTCATGTTAAACTCTGCTTAACCAAATGCCACCAAGGTGATGCTCAGCAAAGCGCTTTCCAAATGTAAATTTGCCCCTATAAATTCACAGACACAATACTTAATCTACAGCACTGACACTGCTCAGTGTTCCAGACATCCCAAGCAGTGTTTTCTCCCCAGTAAAAAAGAGGAATTATCCCTGTTCCCTGTAAGAAATAACTGTAGTACATTAAATGCCAGGAGCAGCGGAGACTCAGTGCTTTAAGCTTCTGGTGATACAGCCAATTCAAATTGTAATGAAGCTGCAAATGAGGTATTGAGTGCTGTGCAAACAAAGAATAAAGGTAGTCGCAGCCTTCAAGTGTTTTCAGAGTAAATAGACAAACAAAAAGTAAGCATCGTTAGCATCTTTTATACGAAGATTAAAGTCTGTGTTTTCTATACTAATAAAAACTTTAGTAAATATTTTCCCCAGGTGACAAAGAAATCACTTGGCAAAGCCCAGAACTGAATTCCTCTCTCCAGTATCCCCACCTAACAATCATACGGTCTCTGTTTCCCGTTTTCCATTCCACTGGTTAGCTTCAGGTTTGCTTTTCATTCTTATTCACGTTTTCAAGGAGTTGTGCTTATTTTAGCTGAAAAATGGTGCACGGCATGGCCAGTAAATTACAGGACATATGACATTTAACAGATCATAGAATCATGGAATCAAGGAACAGTTTGGACTGGAAAGGACCTTTATAGATCACCTAGTCCAACTCCTTTGCCGTGAAGAGGGATATCTTTTCACTAGATCAGGTTGCTCAAAGTCCCATCGAAACTGGCCTTGAACACTTCCAGAAAGCACTGACCTTCAAGACCTGGGGTTTATATAATTTGTTTTCTAAGTAAAAGCGGAGAATAAGCTGGGGGGGGGGAAAAAAAGAAAAAAAAAAGAAAGATTAATTTATTTCAGTTTCTTGGACAGTTCAGGTCCTCCAGCTGCAAAATTGATAAAAAGGTTGACTGCAAGTAGTCACTTTACTAATTCCTCCAGAATCAAACCCTGGAAGGAAGCTGTCATTCAGCTTATTTCTGGCGTATTTATGGATCTGTTATGTTAAGCCATTGTGCCTGCAGGCTATTTACCAGTGGTGTCAGTCTAAACCACATAAAAAACCATTAGGCTCTAGTAATGATTAAATATTTAGTGAATCCACCTATTTAAATCAAACATGAAAGGCTTAGCTCCAACAGATATCTGTCTTAAAATGTAATTTAGTGCGTGGGGAGGACATATACTTCAGGCTGTGTTTACATCATCTTTATGAAGCAACTTCTGATTGCATCTCATTTAACAATAGTGTTACCTTGCACTAAGATACAAGCACATGTTCAGAGCACTTAGACAAGAGAAGAGAGTGTAGTGACCTCTATAGCTCAAGAAGAGACAGCGTGATTTCATTTATTGTTGCTTCCTGTTCTTGGTAATTACTTGTTTCACTTGCAGGAGGAACAAGAGTTGCTGGTGCTATCAACAGCCTGGACTTCACATGATTGACCAAGAATTGCAGGAGACCTCACAGCCAGGTATGATCCTCATGTTGCAGTGGCCAGCAAACTGCCAAGATCTCAAGACTGCTTCCAGATCATGATGATAAACAGCAGCTGGCATTCCTCCCATCTTATATCTTCATGTGGTGTGACTTGAGACGCTTTGGTACTGACAGTGAAATCACTGTGCTCATCTGTATTTCACTTAGATGAACGTGTAATCCAAGTTCAGCCTGCTGTGCATTTGGGAAGTAGCAGACTGCTGATTGTCAGGACCTGTACAATGGAAGGCAGTTAAAGAAATGTCCTTTGGTTTTTTTCTCTGGTCTGTTGTCATAAAATGCAAATTCAGACTGGCAAATAATGGTGGTGTGAATTGCTATGTCTTCAACCATTCAAAGTCAATAAAGCCCATCAATCAATCAATACACGTTATGGTGATCTATTTTTAGTCTGGGCTCTAACCTTCAGCTCCCACATCTGCCTTTTCTGTTGTATAACCAGGACACAGGCAGAGCAGCTTCATCCAGGTATGTTGACTACATCCACATGAAAGGTTCTTTGACTGCAACTTTTCACCCCAGCATGAGAAACCAGCTTCTATTGCAAGTCCAGAGCACCTTCTCAGCAAGATGGGCTGAGAAGAGGATCGATGTAATTCTACTGTGTGGGATGAAAATAAAAGTCCTGAAACAAGAAATTCGGCAGTGATCAACACCATGGTGATGTGTCTTGAAAATAGCTGAACTGGTAGCTTTAGAGCTCTGCATACTGGTACAAATAAGTACTGTTTTTTTGACAGCATCCTTGTGACTCCAAGAACGCAGGGCATTGGAGACAGGAAGCATGAAAACAAGGCAAAGCCTTCAGACACATCCTAACAAGAAAGAGGTGTGGCCTGGCTACCTCATGGGAGCTTCATATCATTTCAGCCCTTTTTACAAGTGAAGTCACACCTCCAAACCCTTTGAAGTTATTGCCACATTCTTGATCCTGTCCAAACAGATTTCTGTGGTGTGAGGCAGGGTTTGCTCGGAATTAGCCTGCTCAAGCCTTGTGAAGTTTGTCAGTGCATTGCTGGTACTCCTAGGAAGAGCAGTTTCATTCAGGGAAAAGCAGAAGTGCTGAGTAATGTCTGATGTATAGTCCATCCTGGTGAGGCACTGGAACAAGGAACTGATTGACCAAGGAAGTTGTCTATGTTCCATCCCTGGCAGTGCTCAAAGTTATGTTAGACAGAGCCTTGGGCGGCATGGTCTAGTGTGAGGTGTCCCTGTCCATGGCAGGGGGGTTTGAACTGGATGATTTTTAGGTCCTTTCCAAACCAAACCAGTCTATGACTCTATGTTTTATGATTCCACAGTCACCTGTGAGAAGCCCAAAATTTATGTGTAAAGATCCTGAGGTGGAAATTTTTTTTTATTCTGAATGGTATGTGTTGTTCTGCAGGGAAGGTTTAAGAATAAATCTTTTCCTTATTTTAACTGGAGTTGACAAGTATTTCAAGGTACTAGTGGGAAAGTTCAAAGAACTCACAGAATTTCAGCAAAGATTTGCCATTCGGTTAAAAATTCCCGATGGCTATTCAAAGGAAAGTTTTACCCACAGATTGTTACATCCTGTTTTTAAACAATGAAAACTATCTTAAAACCAATGTATGGGAACATGATTAAACTGGAGCCGCAGGCAAGTACTGAGGCTTCAAAGTTGCTCGTGTGTTGCACACTGTAACCACACCTGTGCTGGAGGAAGTTTCAAACTTAGTTGTAAGGGTTACAAAACATGTTTATCCAGCATGAAATTATTTTTGTGAAGGCAGTTATTACGCTCATTCCTGCTTAAAGGGCTTGGTCACCTTCCAGCTTTAGGCATTGAAAGAAGTCAATCACTGGTGTTTCACTGTAGAGGGTGATGCTCACCCAGAATGGTATGTAAACAGCAAATTACGGGGGGGGCGGGGGAGACAAAACACAATAAGAAGAAAGCTCAGAATTTTGATGCACAATAATTTAATGAGAATGTAAGAGGCAAATATCTTAGTAAGAATAAAAACACAGGGAAAATATTGCCAGAGTCTCATTAAAGGCTGCAAGTAGAGAATTGCTCCAGGGCTATGCATTCCACACACATTACTCTTTCTTTTTCATAGCATAGAAAGACTTACACAATCTCATCCCACTTTCAACCAGCCAAAGATCATTGATATAACTAATTTGAGGCCCTTATTATCAGGAGCCACTGGAAAGAATAGTCAGAAAATGAAATTAAATCATAAGCTTGAGAATAACATGTAAGAGTGATTTTTAGGGATGCACAGTTCATGCCCCAGGAAAGCAATCCCCCTAATAGAAGTTGTGGAGGCGTATCTTCCACTGTGTTGAGTGATTGCTCCTTCTTCATTACACATTTAACATGGTCTGCAGCTTCCAAAACCGTAACCACTGGATCCATAGGAAGAATATGACCTCCCATAATTGTACAAGCTCCTAGAGCCATAGGAGCCGCTGTGACCCAGAGAGCTTATGGATCCAAAGAAGCTCCCAGTGCTAGATGGTGCTGAGCTGCCCACTATGCTCTCCTGAGGGCAGGAGCTAAGAATGGGTCCTGGGAACGTCATGACCACAGGGGGTGGGTAGATCACAGCTCTCGAATCACCACAGGAGGTGACACAGGGCTGGCTCCAGGCATTTGCAATTGGCTGTGGGCAGGTCACTTCACAGGGTGCAAGGCAACGGGAGCTGATCATCTGTCTATAGGAAGACATCTTCAGGGAGTGGAGACAAATCTGAAACACACAACACCAAGGCAACACAAGGCTGAGAGCTTAGATATCAGTTGAATGGAGACTGTGTTTGGAAGAGAAAAAAATACAAGACAGCAAAAAGACCAGAAGGAGGCTGAAGAATTCACTTTTGTCTTAGCAACCATATCCCTTTTCTCATCTTCTCATGCTCTCCTCCTTTCCTCTAGAACAATCCTTATTTCTTTTGACTCCTCATTATGGAGCCAAGTTAATCAATAAGAATATCATTATCAAACAAAGAAATTGCATGTTCGATCTTGAGCTATCCCCCTGTTCTTTACCATTTCTCCTTTCCACCGTTCCCTTTTGAATCTGACTTCCTGTGACATTGACCATTTATTTTATAAACAGCTGCAGAAAAGAACAAAAACATTGGCTAGCACTTCTATAGTAACATCCTGTGCTGGTTCTCCATCTCCTGTAATCACTACAATTGTATGAAGCAAGCCGTTGTTATTCCAGCTTTAAGGAAGAGGTAACTGAGGCTGAGAAGTGAATGCATTGCCCAGGGCCATTTGGTGAAGTAACTGGAGAGACTGAGTTAAAATTCAGGCAAGCCTGGTTGTTAACAACAGTGCTATTCCCCAGCATTTCAGATGTTACAGCTGGCATCAGGGCTATCTTGTATGCTCTTCGCACAGATAAAATGAGCAGCATCCACATCCCTGAATTGCTCATAAAGAGAATTTGCTTGGCAGAATATCCTATGTTTGGGTAGGAACGTAGTTTCAGTGAGCTTTCCAGTATAACCAGGACTCCTGTGAATGTGGTCCCAGTTGTCCTGCTAAAGATGACTGAGGTGACATCTGATGTCTGTGGCAAAACTAGGAGCTGTGTGTAATTTTGGGGAGTCCTTTTCTTTAACCATAAGATCACTTGATCACTCATAAAATCAATTTGCAGCTCCTCTTGATCTCTGTCTTACCCTACTAAAACCCATAAAATGAAAGGCTGGGAATAATGAAAAGGAATAAAGTCTTGACCATAACAAGTGTATAATGTAATATATAACAGGCTTCAAATTCATTCAGAAACAATTGCAAAGAACAGGATAAAACATTATTGCTAGCGCTGGCTTCCTAGTTCAGTCTGAGACTCAGAGTTAACTTTTCTTGGTAGTCACCATTACAAGTCAAGTTGAACAAAGTCATAAAGGCAGGATGGTCAGGAATTAGGAATTCACTGAATCTCACTATAAAGAAGTTTGCATATCCCAAACTGTCAACTGGTCTGAAAGCTCCTGCATTTTTACAGTCTGCCACTGAATAAATAGGAAACAGTTCTTTCTGAAAGAAAGCTTCAAACATTTCACACATTTCTAAGATCAGTTTGTTTTCAGTTAAAATCCTGCATTGTCACAGCAGCATTGCAATGGAGTCAGGCTCAGGCTTACCTCTTCGCAGCAAAGAGCGAGTCAGGAGAAATGGTTGGAGCAGCCCAGAATGGGGAGCGCTTTTATTCCTTTTCTTAGGCAATCAAGAGGATATGAAACATTCTTCATGGATGATGTCCTAATGCATTATCAAACAAAAATTCACCCCACCTGTAACTGCCCCAGATAACGCAATTATTTTGCTCAGTGATGGTGATTACTATTGCGTTCTTGCCATTACACTGGCAGAGCAATTTTGTTTCTTTTATTGCTTTTTCCTATTTCTCTGATTGCTTCATGGAGCAAAGATTGCTCAGAAGTTTATCCATAAACAAAATATGCTGACATACCTGAGATACTACCCCACTTTTCCAAGTCATACTCCAGTGAGGGGGCATTATGCAACTTATCCCATCATACCCACACACATTAATTCCTATGACTCTGACACGAGACGCATTACACTTCACAGACACCTTCCTACTGAGTTTAGAAATGGGAAGCATTTGTTCCCATCCTCCTGGCTGAGAAATAGGCACAAAGCACATGTCCCACTTCAAGCTTTAACAGTACAGTTGGAGTAACCCATAAGTAGGGAGCTGCTGTTATCCAACCCTGGCATGGGGAACAGGAGAATGAGAAATTCATGTCCATCTTTCATCATCAGGGACCCCATGGGACCATTGCTAAAGTCCTCAGGGCTCCTGAGTGATGAACGATTCATGGTTTGGGATGAAACTGGTCAGGGAATGAAGGCATGCATCACCCTATAAAAACCTTGGTATGAAATCTTAAAGTGCAGCTTCAGCTGATGCAGGAGATTAGCTGCTTACTTCAGCAGATTTATTCCTCAGATCCAGCACCCTGTTTTCAGTTCTTCAGTTATTTACTGATAAAACTGTTTCCAGTCTCACCATTCTGTATAGCCAAGTTGACATAATTTGCAAGCAATTTTCTAACCTCCTGAAGATGAGTTCTTCCCCTCTAAAATCCAGCCCCTCTACAGAATTTAAAGTTGAATGCCTGGTTTCGAGTAACCTCAAAGCTTCTGTTCTAAAATGTTAATTTTATTTGTTTGCCCATCAGCATTTGGTCACTGTTAGCAACACTGCAGTGCAATGCTGTACAGATGACCCATGGAAAGAAAGAAGAGGAAGCCTCTTCCAGGGCCACCTTGGGGTTTCGCTCAGCTTAGTTTCCTGGCAATGCCTGTGGAAACACCCTTTGAAGTCACTTACAGTTTATGGTAGAGGATTCATATAAATAAGAAACATGGTCTGTTCCTCCTGCCCAAACCACGCCTGGTTTCACTTTGTCAGGCAGCAGGTGAGGACAGTGATCACAGATACATACAATGAATCATGTAATTCTTGGAGATGTGTCCCTCTTCCAACTATCCTGCCCTCCTGAAGGATCAAAGGGAGCTACATACTAGTATTGATATTGCTGACACCCCTGACTGCTTCTTTTGACTCATGATTTTCAGGGTTACAGCTACATGCTTTACTTCAGTACTTTTACACACAGTGGCATCCATATAGAATTATAGAATCAATAAGGTTGGGAAAGACCTTTAAGATCATCAAGTCCAACCATTACCCTAGCACTGCCAAGTTCACCACTAAACCTTATCGCTAAGAGCCTCATCTGTATGTTTTTTTAATACTTGTACAGAAGCATTCAAAACACAGAATGGTTAGGGTTGGAAAGGACCTTAAGATCATCTAGTTCCACCGCCTTGCCATGGGCAGGGACACCTGCACACTGGACCAGGTTGCTCAAGATGCTGTGGATCCAACCAGGACCTTGTGGTCCAACCTGGGTGGATGAGCCAGAAGGACAATGCAATAAAAAAGGTGTAACTGCCAACAAAGAGGCATTGATAGCACTCTCTGTTTGAAGAACAGTATTTCTAAGTACTTAAAAAATAATATTCATGCCTTGGTCTGACTAGACTTAAGCCAGAAAGCATGACTGCTGCTAATGTGGACCCACTGAACTCTGTTTCTGGAATGGCCCCAAAGCTGGGAGCATAAAATAAATATTCATAGGGATAACACAAGACTCAGCACTGCGCTCTTGTGGCTTAGATGAGAGCATGACTCAAGCTGAGTAAACCAGAGTTATCTCAGACACCTCTAGATAGGATGAATTCATGCCTCTGAGCTGAAGTGTTGGTGTACCCTTTACTTGTCTGAAAGTTGTGGATCAAATTACTGATGCACCTGTAGGACCTCCTGAGGCAGGATTTCCATGCGTCCAAAAGACATGACTGGAATCTTCTGCAAACAAGTGTGCAAGGTTCAGCCAGCTCTTGGTGTACAGTGAAAACACGGATATGAAGTGGGGATGAAAGTGGGAATATTTATTTGAATATAAAAATATATCTATGTCAAATATAGGCATATTCTAGTCCTAATAACAACACTCTGCGTATGTATTTATAAACTGAGTCCTGAAGCAAAGCACTGCCCAGTGCAAAGGCATATTTATGCTGACATAAGCCATGTAAGATGCTGATTTTAGTTCCAGCTGCTGGGAAGGAGAAATTATGCACAGGATATATCCTGGCCTTTTCAATGTGGGTACATTTATAATCATCTAATAAATCAACTAATAAATGGATGTTAGGGAGGGAGGTGTGAAGAAAGGCTGGAATAAACCAAAAAGAGAATATTTCTATTAGGATGCAGCATGATTTTTATTAGGAACAAGAAATGACATTTACATCAATAACAAACTGTCCTGGGTTCAGCTGTAGCAGTCAAAATCCCAACACATGGAAAAGAAACTCCCCTGATATAAATTTTGTCACATCTTTGAGGTTGAACATGAAACCAGAAAAAACCACATGTGTTCACAGACAGGCTAAAGCACAAAATGACCCACTTTCCCACCCATACTGTCAGAATGGAAAATGCGTATTTTGATAAATCAGTGCAGATTTACAGCAACAGCATCACAATAAAACAGCATTAGAAAGACGAGCAGAAGAGCAGTTCCCATGAGTGCTAAGAAGCACCCACAGGGCCCAATGGATTACTTGGGAGCTGTGGGTGCCCAAGACTTTGGAGAGCTCCTCAGCTCAATTGCACATCCAGGTCTTGCTGTGAGCTCCTCCACTGCTTCTCCTGCCAGACACAGCTTCTGCCACGCTTAACATGGCCCACAGCCCCCATAGCGCTGGCTCCAGAGCTGGTTGGAGGAAGACGAGGAGAAGCAGCCCCCATAGATAAGGGAGCCCTGCAGGGCTCTGGGGCGCTCCAGCCCCAGTGGGGATGAGCTGCCCACGATGCTCTCCTGAGGACAGGAGCTGAGGATGGGGCCCGGGAAGGTGATGATCACGGGCGGTGGGTAGACCACAGCACGGGAGTCCCCGCAGGAGGTGATGCAGGGCTGGTTCCAGGCGTTGGCGATGGGCTGCGGGCAGGTCACCTCGCAGGGTGGGAAGCAGCGGGAGCTGAGCTGCTGCCTGGAGAAAGACATCCTTTGGGCAGAGAGGTGAACCTGCAACACACCATGGACCTTGAGTCAACCTTCTGTTCATGAGCTACTGCACAGACCACCCTGCTCTGCCTTGTCAGCAGCAGGGAGGGCTCAGAATGCGGTCTGGAGCTGCTCTGCTAATGCTAAGGTCTTCTCTTCTCTCTCACTTTCCCCTTCCCTGCCCTCCTTTCTCCCTCCCAAGCAGCTCCTCCATGCTCTCCCAGGTTTTCTGCACACTGAAAGCTTCCCAATCTGGCCAACCTCAAAGTGACAAGCTGGAGATCACCCATTACCAAGCTTTGCAGCCTGCAGAAGGAGTGCATTTTTGATGAAAAAGAAGCGTAAGAAAGACAAGCAGAGTATTTCTGAAAGAGTTAAAAGTACTCAAGTGCAACACTAACCCAGAAAGATTAAGTGGGATCAAACTTACTCAAGACACCAAAGAGGAGAAGTAAAGAGCAGTTGACTGACACTATCTGTGCTGTGAGCTCTTTTTATACTGTTTCTTGGGCTGCTCACTGGTCTATGACACCTCATGAACAAGATCTTAATTAGTTCCCAAACACACAGATTACATGTCACGCCTCAACTCCTCATCCAGGCAAACAGTTTCCTCACTGTTAGCAAGTATTACCCAGCCCACACTATCCTCAGCGTCTCTCAGGTTCTTCCTTCTTAGAAATCATTCGCCTGACTTCCCCAGGTTTGTGGGATGTCTATTTATTACTTGTTTTCCTTACAGATATTGAAGTTTCAGTTTTCCAAAGTGATTTCGTACTCAAAGTTCCTTACAATATTTTAACTCCAGATACTGTTACCTTCTTGGGGATTGCTTTTAAATTTCCTTTGGGAATATCAAGACTTCTAATCCCTTTCCTATGCTGGTGCAGGTCAGTGCTGAGGCACTGAATCACTGAGAACACTGCAAACACCCAAGCAAGGTGGGACAATGCAATCATCTCCCAGCAGAGTTAAGGTTTTTTGTTCGGCTCCCTCTGCTTTCAGCCAGGGCCCCTGGGGTCTGCTTTTGCAGTAGGGTCTCTCCTTAGGGACAAAAGGAAGCACATGGGGGTAGATCTCAACCTCAGGTGTCCTGTAACACACGATAAAGCATCCTTCTCCCCTGTGTGGCTTTAGAGTATTGTCTTGGTCTGTTCTATTTTCATCTAAGTAAAACAAAGAAACAAACAAAACACCATTTTAATAGTTATTGAAGGATTTTCTTCACATCAGGCACAGGGACATAATATCACTGCAGCCAGGAAGATGTGCCACCCTACATCTACCGGGGCTGTGGTGCAAAGACTTCAGAGGGACAGAATGTATAGTTGTGGTTTTCTGTTCAGAGGGAAAAGAAAGTGCACGGATCTGCAAGAGCTCACAAAACAAATCACCTCTATGCTTTAGTGTGCTGTATCAGACCTGCAGTGTGGAGCTGGGATAAGGAACAAAGCAGATGCAGTGTATCTTCAGCCTTTATTCCAAGCATAAGCTCTACAATGCTTCAATTCAACATCAGCAGGGGTTTAGAAAAGCAAATCAGCCCACGTGCATTGCACTACCTGTGATACTGCAGAGTGCTTGAAAAATGCTGGCTATGTGAATCAATCGCTCAAGCAAAGTAGTTTTCCAACACTTTTGTCACATTGGTAAAATCAGCAAAATGCTGCAGGAAGTGAAACTGCTTCAAAAGGTTTAAGGAAGAAAGAAGAGGGTGTTGGAAGAAACTGATAATTGTCCAAAGATGAATAAAACAGTCATAGAAGCGTGGGGAGTGATGTGTCTTGATGTGTTTTAATAACCTGAAACATGAAGGATGTCTCAATCCCCTCCAGGCAATCAAGGAGATGGTATATAAGGGCATCTGGCTCAGAAGTCCTCAGATCACAGGTCCTCACTTCTCCTCTTCGTTGATCCAAGTAAGTTTGATCCTTTCTTTATCTCTTGTATCTTTAGGTGTGGATAGCCTGAACTTCAACCAGTTCTGCGTGAAGGCCTTTTTCTCCGATATTCTCGTTGGTAAACAGGGCAGCTGCAGATCTGTCCAAACTCCACTGTAGCAGCTACAAGTTAGAGGATTCAGCCAATATGGGTTTCAATCCAAGTTCTTTCACTCTGGAGTGTGAACTGACTGGTGCACCTCAGTATAGCTTTTCAGCGGGCTTGGGCAGCACTCAGTGTGCAGAAAACCTGGGAGAGCATGGAGGAGCTGCTTGAGAGGGAGAAAGGAGGGCAGGGAAGGGGAAAGTGAGAGAGAAGAGAAGCACCTAAGCATTAGCAGAGCAGCTCCAGACAGCACATTCTGAGCCCTCCCTGCTGCTGACAAGGCAGAGCAGGGTGGTCTGTGCAGTAGCTCATGAGCAGAAGGTTGACTCAAAGTCCATGGTGTGTTGCAGGTTCACCTCTCTGCCCAAAGGATGTCCTTCTCCAGGCAGCAGCTCAGCTCCCGCTGCTTCCCACCCTGCGAGGTGACCTGCCCGCAGCCCATCGCCAACGCCTGGAACCAGCCCTGCATCACCTCCTGTGGGGACTCCCGTGCTGTGGTCTACCCACCGCCCGTGGTCATCACCTTCCCGGGCCCCATCCTCAGCTCCTGTCCTCAGGAGAGCATCGTGGGCAGCTCATCCCCACTGGGGCTGGAGCGCCCCAGAGGCCTGCAGGGCTCCCTTATCTATGGGGGCTGCTTCTCCTCGTCTTCCTCCAACCAGCTCTGGAGCCAGCGCTATGGGGGCTGTGGGCCATGTTAAGCGTGGCAGAAGCTGTGTCTGGCAGGAGAAGCAGTTGAGGAACTGACAGCAAGACCTAAGTGTGCAACAGAGCTGAGAAGAAAGGCTCTCTGAAGGAATGGTGAACTATGAGTGCTTCTTAGCACCCATGGGAACTGCTCTTCTGTTTGTCTTCTTTATGCTCGGTTTGCTTTTAATGTCAGTTTTCTCACAATCGATCTTTTCCATTCTTGGAAATCAAATTACTGATCATGAAAATCTGTTTCTCACTGTTAGAGCACAAAAGCACTTTTATTACTGGAAACTGGTCCATGTATACTTCCAGTTGCTTGGGACCACAGTATCATTTCTTTGGTAGTTTTATACTTTGATTTCTTTATGTCTAATAGAAATCTTATCACCTTATACTATGATTCATCCTGTCCATTTGAGACTTGAACCAAGAAAGAAAACAAATGTGATGAAAATAAATCAGTTTGGTACAGATTATTAAGTTGGCCCTTTTAAAAGCCACCTTGTATTTTTCCCTTATGTTGCTGAAAATCTACGCTTCTTGATCCTAATAAACACTTATGATTGCATCCAAAGAACATTCATCTGTTTACTTTCTTCTTTGTTTTGGGGGAATGTAGCCTTTGCAAATGAATTGAACCAAATCATCCCCTTATCTTAGAGATCTGCAGATGAGTCTTGTGCTCTTACAAACAGTGTTTATATAACCTGTGGATTCATTCATCAGGAAATTCTGCTTACAGCATGCAGAGCTCCCCTGTGTGTCTGATTTAATCTTTACAGGAACCAGGTGTGAGAAAACTGCCCAACCCTTAAATAATAGTTTCAAAACCAGGGTAAAGTACTAAATAGCCACTCCAAAAGTATTGAAGTAGCTCATCCCTACTTCCCCTACCTTTCCATGGAGTTTTACCAGAGCTATTGTAATTCTATGCACCATAAAAGAAGCCAAAATAATAGAGGATGTTATAATTCCATAGAACATAGCAAAGAGAAAATATTAGACATTTCACAGCAGCAAAAGGAACTTCAAGAGACAGTCAGAGAGCAAATTAGCTAGTGATGAAATTCCAGTCTGAGAATCAGGAAACTTGAATCTACTTCCACACTCTGTACTTTCCTATCTTGCTTTCTGAGACTATGAAACTGCCTCAACTGGAATCATAAATGCCCAAAAGCAGGTAACTTTTTCTAGGTTTACTTGTTAGTACTGAACAAAGTAAAGAAGCCTCCTTGCAAAATCCTAAGAAACAGGGAAGTAGAAATTGGAGCTTAAAGAAGGTCAGCAGATGCATTTCAAAGAGCAACTTAGATGACCAGAAGCCAAGTGCAGTAAAGTAGTTATAGACAGCTCTCAGTAAATAGGGAACAGTGATCCAGCAGTGCTCAGGGACCAGCTGGAAGCAATGATAAATTTCTTCAAGGTAAATAAAAGCCAAGTAGCCCCTCAGTTGTTTGCTATTGTGTTAATCCTTTTTAGCAGGGCGCTGGGTTAGTACCAAGTTTCTTGCTGAAATACTTCACTAGAATTCCAGATGTAGACTACTGGATAGCCTTTTAGGACTAAGGGAAGGGGTAAGATTGAAGGTGCAATGAAGATACACCCTATTGCATTATAAGAAAGTATGCTTGGCTAACTGCTGCTTTCAAGTAAGTGTCCTATGCTGCCTTGTTTTACTATTGCATGCATGCTTCTGGGTGTGAAAATAATAGCAATTCTCTTTTCTGTTCCTTGTATTATTTTCTTTCTCCAGCAGTTTTCTAGCAGTTCAAAATGGTGCAGTACAAGGTCTAAAGTGGCCATGGAAGTTGGCAGAACTCATTGCCAAGCAGAGGATTAACAGGGTGGGTTTGATTGATTAAGGTCTTAGCTCTCTTCTTGCTGCAGGGTTTAACAATGATGGAAACCCAATGCCTGCACAATGATGTTATTTCATTCAAACAGGTAGAAAGCAAACCCAGAATGCTAAAATTATGATGCAGCATGATTTTTTTAATAGGCAATAGAAAAGAAAGTTTACAAAAGCAAAACATGATCATACAGAGAGCAAGGAATCTGAGGCTTTTCCAACTGAGGTTTCTTGTTTCAGGAAGTTTCATTTCAAGCACAGTGCTCTTTTCTTCTTTTGTAGCTGTAAGGTTGACAATGCAGTCCAGTTTTCATCTGTTAACATCACTCTTGATTGACATCAGGCAGTACCAAAAGGGAGAAATCACAGTATACAAACTTTTCCATTATGATACTTCTATAACGTTACAAGGTTGAATGGAATTTTACTGCATTTGAAAATCTGGACCATGAGAAGAATAAGTGAACACATAGAAAAGAAAAGTACATAAGCAGGTACAAGCACAAATACAATTTGAACTGTTAGAAAGACTCAGCCTTTTTATGTCAACATCTTAAAAGCTCCATCTTACTCTTGAGTTTGTATCTTGCATTCAGTATCCTGGCTGCTCTTGGTGTAAGTGTACTCCTGCTGTGGTTGGCAGGGCTCACACCTAGAGCGATAACCTGTGAACCTCTGAGAAAAATAAGGGTATGAGAACTTGCTTTCCTGTGATCCCCCGTAAACAAAAGAGCCTCTGTAACCATATGATCCACCATAGCCAAGTGAGGTCCCAATGGCAGCTGGTGCTGAGGATCCCACTATGCTTTCCTGAGGGCAGGAGCTGAGAATTGGCCCAGGAAAAGTGATCACAACAGGGGGTGGGTAGACCACTGCCCTGGAGTCACTGCATGACGTAACACAGGGCTCATTCCAGGCATTGGCAATGGGCTGGGGGCAGGCCACCTCACATGGTGTGGAGTACTGGTAGTTGCACAGCTGTCTGTAGGAGGACATTGTTCTGCGGTGGAGGTGGATCTGAAAGGCAGAAAACTGTGTGAAGCAATTCCATGTTAGGTCAGAGATCTGTGTTCAGGCACTCAAGAATATTCAATGAGGACTCATAGAATGGTTAGGGTTAGAAAGAACCTTAAGATCATCTAGTTCCATTCCCCATGCTACCCACTTGGGTACCTTCCTGAACAGAAATGAAGTGGCTTTGTAGTTCCTGTCTCTCTCTCCCACCTCTTGATCACACTGCTTGAGTAACATTTATCTTCTGTCCTTGCCAGACTCAACTCTTCTTCCTGTGTACATCAAGCAACCTACACTTTTGACATATCTGTTCTTAATGTGTGAGAACATACCCTTAAGTGCTACATCACAAACAGTGCTTCCTTCAGTTGTGTTCCTTTGTAAAAGGAGCACAAGCGCTTCTATACCTTATGAGAGCAACTGTCATCTCACCCAGTCCCTTCTCCTCAGTAGTTAACCTGTAGGACAGGATTTATATGACCACCTGTTACACAGAGCTTCAAAACTGAGCTTCACCTTCTACTAAAGCCGCAATAAGGCAGCAGCTCATTTCTATCTGGGAACCAGAAGTCATGAATCCTAGAAGCACTTAGTAAGGATGTCAACATTCCCTCAAAAAGCTGGATAATGCCAACTCCAAGCTCTCTGCAGGATTGGTGAAGCTGCTTTTTCAGAGAGGCAAACCCTGTTAGTGTCATGGAAGACATCTATGTAGGATTCAGTTAGAGTTATTATAATAAGTGCATGAAAAAAGCACAAAGAATTAAAAACTTACCCAAGTTCCAGAGGAGAAGTCAGGAGAAGCTGTTGGGAGAGATGTGAGCAGTGTGTGCTTTTATACTGCTCCTGGGATAGTCTGGAGGACCTGAGACGCCCTTTGCGCATGATGTTTGATTAGATTCAGAAAGGAAGCTATTACACATAACGCTTCACAGCATATAATCATTTTGCTCACTGTTGGAAGTTATTAGGCAATTCCCAGTTTTCCATTACACCTTACTACGTCATCCTTCTCTAAACTTTTTGATCATATTTAGATTCATCAGATTTCAGCCTCTATGAGCAGCAATGAGAGGTAGTTCAGCTAAGTTAAAACCATCTCCTTGACAACTGTGTTGTATTTTATATCTCTTTTATTTTAAAATTCACTCAGAGAAAGAGGACAGATTATTAACCTTGAAGCTCCAGGGTGCAAATCTACTTGTTTTGCCTGCTTCATGTCCCCACTTAGAAAGCTGCTTAGAAAGGGTCTCGTGCTGGCATCAACAAACTAGCAAATCTGGGCAATTCACCGTAAGACAGAAAATGCAGAGTAGAAACATTGTTGATTTTAAACCTTATACACCTCTCATCACCCCAACAGCCAAAGCAAGGGGTATTTTATGGTCTGAAGAGAGGCTTTGCTCCGACTGTACTAAGAGATGCTGTTTATTCACCTCCTTCCCCCCCAATCTTTACAGTTACTTCTGTGTGTACTCCAGGACAAACTGCTTTCCAAATGTAGACACCAGGCCCCCATCTGCACCAACTAAATTTAGCTGATCTCAGCTTATATTATATGCTGTACAATAATTTCAACAATCATTCAGCAATATACTCCAACTCAGTAACTTTGCATCTAGCTGTCCCTCCTGTGCATGTCTTCTTTCCAAGGCTCAGTATCTTCAACGTTGGGCAATATCTGTATTCTTGGTCACAGGCAGCCTTGTTTTCAGAATCCCATGGCATAGAGCACATGATCATTCCAGAAGAGGTCTTTAATCAGGATCTTATTGGTCCTGAGAAACCAATAAATGCTTCAGCCCTCAACTTTTCTTTTAATCCATATGGTACAGGAGACACATAGCAAGAGGGGAAACTCCACCTTTTTTTATTATCATTGCCCTCTAACAGGATTCCACAGGGCAAGACTTTAAGTGGCAGTGACACAATGGCCATCAGGGCTCAACTACTAGATTCTTGATTAACATTTATGTTCTGTCGTTGCCAGACTCTCAACTCTTCCTAACATTCCTGTGTACATCACAGCAATCAGTCAGATTGGCAGTGGTCAGTTATCTGGGGGGATGCAAAGGATTCAGCTCACAGACTGTCAGCAGTAAATGTCATGGGACATACTGTGGCATCATGGACCATGAAGCCAGATGCCTAATATTACTTAAGATGGAGAAGGATATTAAAGTAAAACAACCACAAAAGAGGAGCTTGATTCATTCTCACCCAAAACCAACAAAGGGAGTGGATTGATACCAGGAAGGACCTGGTCATTGAAGTTTTGAACGGAAATGAACCATGAGATGTAGCATTGTGTAACATGATGAAGCAGAGAACACCAGAGTAATTAGGATAAGTCAGAAAGTTTTTGCATCATCAAGATGAGCTGAATATGCAACAAATAACAGTTGGTAAAGCAGCAGATTCTCATGAGCAAGGTGGGTTTCTATACACAAAGAGTTTAAGAAAAGTGGAAAACTGTTCTCAATCGTCAAATATTTCCAGAACACTCCTTTTGTTATATGATTCCTGCTAACTTGGCTAAAATTAAATTTACTTGATAGTTTCCCAAGTATGGAAATGCAGATAGAAGAGCAGCTTTAATTGCTAGCCATATATTCTGCTAAAACCATGATTCTTGTAAGAGCTTGACACGAGTCTACCTTTAGGGAAGCCCTTTGAACTTGAAGCAGTCTGTAAAAACTTGTTTATGAGATGTTAGGCAGAGATTTTGATGTCAGCAGCAGATTGATTAGGGTACCCTGTTGCTCTTATGTTCATATGGGTTAATCTTTATCTGTAATCTTTAAATAGTTACATAATTGCTAAATTTGAAAGTATTTTGCTGTAGACAACCTTAGTTTCATATGTCGAGCTTTGATATAAAATTCTTGGAAGAATTCATGTTATATATAAGGACAAAAGTCTTTATTGTGAGGGTGGTGAGGTGTTGTCACAGGTTGCTCAGAGAAGCTGTGGCTGCCCCATCCCCAGCAGTGTTCAAGGCCAGGTTGGATGAGGCTTGGAACAACCTGGAAGGTTTCCCTGCCCGTGGCAGGCGGTTGGAACTAGATGATATTAAGATTAAGATCCTTTCCAACTCAAACCAGTCTATGGTTTTATGAAGGATCAGGGGCTATTCAGGTGTTTTAAGTGGGTATAGGCTGTTTGTAACCATTTAGGGGCTATCTGGAGGAAAAAGAAAAGGTCAGTCATCAGAGATGAGCCATCTGTCTCACACCATAGACCCGTACCATCCCCACTTGCAGATCTTTAGCTGATACTGAGAGTTGAATAAGGAAAACAGTATCAAAATGTGCATCTAAGTACTATTATGGAAAGACGGCTAAGGATTACACAGCAGGAAATATTATATACATCTTCAAAGTGCCTGAGTGGTTCAACCCACTGAGTAAATCTAAGCAGGGAGTTTGTGGCCACATTCTTGTCCCTGCCCTCTCCCGAGTAAATTTTTTTGTGGTCTGGCAGGAGAAAAATGGATATTCCTGCACAGATACTCCATTCTCTGTTTATTTATCTTAAACAGTTGTCAGTTTATTTGTCTTAATCCCAGTATGCTTACCTCTGATAGGTTTATGTACTGATTTAACAAAAACAGTTGAAGCAAATGCAGGGTAGAAAAATAAACAGCAAAGAATAAAAGAAAATCAGAATGAGCACAAGGCAGGTAGGTGGGGGAGGCACAGACCACTGGGATTTTAGATGGTTTGCTTTCCTCTTTTCTTACTTCTGGCTTCATTCTGACAGAATTTCCTTTGCTCTTAAGTGATCCTTGTGGACTTAATGGTGACAGATCACCTCCCATGAGCCAAGTGGCTGCATCAGTAGCTTCTTGCCCTTTGTGACCCTTCTATAAAAGTGTATTTTTCCTTCCACTTTTATTTTATTCCAGATGGAGAAAGATTTTCTGCCTTTTCTCTGGCCTGGAAGGGAAGGACCTATTGCTGAAAGTAAAACCCACCCAAA